GTAAATGGGGGTAACCCAGCCACATTAAACATAACAAACAAGAACAATAAATTTAACCTAATATTACTAACAACAGAAAACCCCTTAAATATTTTATAAAAAAAAAATATATAAACAGATAAAAAAAGAGAAAAAGTATACAAAATAATATACTTAAACCAAATAATAGTTTTTATATAAACTAATATCAACATTCAACTCGATTGATTAATGGAAGAATAAGCTACAATAACTTTGAAATTAGTCAACCTAACGATATAAAAGGAGGAATAATAGAAGATAAAATTAGTGCTACATATAATATAAAAAAATTATTAATTTTAATCAAAGACATCATATAAAATGGAACAATTTTCTGAACAGTAACCAAAAGAATTAACATATCTCATGGCATAAATTTAGAAATTAATGGCAACCAAAAATGAAAAGGAGGAATTCTTAATTTAATCCTCAAAGTCAACATTAATATAACATAAAGATAACTGTTAAACATAAAAATTCTATTAATAATAATGGGAAAAACTAATAAAAATGAAGATATAATCTGAATAATAAAATAAAAAAAAACTATCTTTTTTCTATCTATAAACATATTTACAATATATAAATAAACATAAAATTAATAATTTCTAATAAAAATCAAATAATTATTAAATCATAAACAAATAAAGAAATCGGTAGTGAAAAGAATGGGCTATGAGCCAGCTATAACAAAGAATCTTTAATAAAACTTCTTACATACATGTATACATGCAAACGAACGTTTCGACCCCGAAATAAAGAAATGTGAGAAAATACAAATAAGTTAATCAAAACAATGTAACTTAACACAGAATACTTAGGAAAAATATTTAAATAATTATATTAAATTTTAATTTAAATTAAAAAATAATTAATCATTAATATGATAACAATAATTATTTAATCTTAAAAAATAACATTCATAAAAAAAAATCTCAATTAGTAATTCCAACTAAAATTCTCTTTTTGTTTTAATTTTTATTAAAATTAACTTACTATTAAAACATTATATATTTTAATGTACGAAGCATAAAAACTTTTGAAGTTTACAGAAATAGTTTAATTCTATTAAATATAGTAAAAAAATTTAATGAAAGTGTATATATATATATATAT